TTTCAAATTGCTGTTCTGTGTCATGCGTAGTGTTCATTTTCAGAGCATGAGGCAATGCTTTGAACATAAAATTGCATCTGTCAGTCTCCTTTCCCCAGGTGGTAGGATGCTCTGATGAACTCTTCCCACTGTCTGGGGCATTACTAACTCTTGCCAAGTAGAAATGAGACTGACTGTACTTAGTCACTGAATTTCCTGGATTGTGAGAAAAGGTCATTCTGGCTGGCCTTTCATGCTATAGAGCTGCATGTTGTAACTATTATCTGTCTTGCCAGTAAACACCTGACAGGTTGGGAGTAATTACCTTTCCAGTTATCATTCTCTGATCTACTGGGGAGAAAAAGACTGGTTTGTAGGTTGCTGTATTATTTTTAATTTCCTGAATGTTATTCTTGAACTGGTGGGGAATAACGGAGGATGAGAACTCCATGCACCAAATTGCAAATGGTTGTTAGGCGTAGTGGAGAAAAACTGGACAGAAAGTAAACTAAGTTTGTTATTTACACTTCTTAAATCCCATATAGTGTGAGTTCTATGTCTGCCTGCTTGCCAGAAATTAGGTTTCTATACAAAGAACAGTTACATTATTGGTTTATACTGGCAGCTAAAACAATTGCTTCCCATTAGGACTGGTCTAAGAGGAGAAAAAAAAAAAAAAAAAAAAAGGAGTGTCTGAGTTTGAGTTGAGCTGGTCTTTGTTTCTGCAGTAGATTGATAGGACAAAGTTGACATCTCTGTCAACCTCTGATGATGTGCTGGCATCTCTGCCACAGTTTCATTACTTTTAAACTAACAGTTAAGACTTGATAGGAATATTCTGAAATATTGCACTCTGACACATTTTTTTTCTGTTAAGTAAAATGTAAATTTGGATTGAAGATTTAATAAATGAATCTCATAAAATCAGTCTCACAAAATTAATTGATTCATAAATCAATCTTATTAATATTTCTGCTAAGCTATTCCTGAGAAGCATCTGCATTTCTTACAGTGGATATTTCTACCAGTCATTTCAGACTTCCTTCTTTTTTTCCTTCAGGGAAAAAAAAAAAAAAAAAAAAAAAAGGATGTGGAATATTTAACCTTGAAAAATAACCATAAAATTGTATTAGTTCATCTTAAGGATGTAATTAAGTTTTCTGAACTCTTAGCAACAAATTTGTTACCTCAGATAGGTGTAAAATCTTAATAAATGTCTGAAGCTCAAGGTACTGGATAACTGTAACGCTAAAGTAGACTCTGTCAAGTATCTTCATGATGTCAGTGTTGTTTTTATCAGTTATCTAGTGTCTAGAATGCTGGTAGCAGAAATCTGGCTGCAACACCATGCTGTATTTGGAAGTATGCTGCTGAAGACCCTTACGGCCTTAACTTACACCCTTAGACTCTTTTACCATACTTCATCCTTGAACCTCTTGGTGTCATACTCACTTTATGTAGCAGAAATATAGAATAAAATTACAAATTACATTACTACATTACATATTAAAAATTACATTACAAATAAAATAAAGTAAAATCACTGGATTAAGTGTGTTTCTCTCCCATTAGAGAGATCATATCTCTTTCAGTTTGCCTCTATAGTTTCTATTGCAGAAGGTCCCTGAGAGACTAGGTGGCAGTCTAGGTGCTAAAATTTTAATAATAATGACTGGTGTTCAGTAATTGTTCTTAGGTCTCATCAAGTATCATTAGGAAATAGAGAGGACTTTTCAGACTTTTTTTTTTTTTTTGTGTGTGTGTGTGTGAACTTGTGAAAAAATATCCTTTTTTGGGAAAGTCAATCTGTCCATGCAGATTAACAAAGGTTTTAATGCAGCATATTTATAACAGAAAGAGACATTCCTATCTGTGTATTGCACGAAAATCTTTCTTGGAGAAGAGTAGGTTCTGAACTAGTAGGTTCAGGGAACCTACTTTTTCCAGATGTTATCTTAGAGTGGTTGAAGATTGAGCAGACCTCTGGAAACATCTCAGCTGCAGCAGTGCAGAACTCAGTGTAGGTTGCAAAATCCACCTGAGAAATAAGTTAAATACTTAGGTACTTCATTTATGCGGAGCTCTCATCCACTACATAGTCAAGAGTTCCCAGGTCAGCCACGAAATCTTTGATACTTAGAAAAATTACATACTTGCACTTAAATGCCATTAATTTGTAGGAATGATCATACAAGATAATAAATCTATAATGAACTATACCTTTTTCTTATAATCTCATAATCATAGAAGAGAAACTAGTAAAAAATCATAGAATCATTAAGGTTGGAAAAGACCTCCAAGATCATCTGGTCCAACCATCATACTTGTCATGGACATTTGTCACTTATTACAATATGTTAACTGTCTCCAAGTTGTCCTATTTGCTGTGATTTTTAAAGTATTTATTTATTTATTTATTTATTTTGCTTTTTCAGCCTGGAGTTCCTCCTCTTCTATCACTACAGTGAAAAGGAATCTAGGGATCTGAAAATCTGTAGCCACAGACAGGTGTCTGCTCACCTCTGCTTACGTTCTTGTGTTTGCTATATAACACTGTGTCAGCAATCTCATACAGATATCTAGTAGACAGCTCTTTAGAAATCTGAATCAAAAATACCCTAGCTGTGATAACATTGTTATTAAAATGAAAATATTAATCTTCTACAGAGTTTCCCAGAACATCAAATACTTGGCTTGGTAAATAAAGTACTGTTTGTCAGGTGATGAGTTGTGATTTCTTCAGCAACAAATCTTCACAGCACTTTTCTGAATATTTGGACAGTTCTGTTCCCCAGATTGAGATTTAGATAGCAAATGCATCTTTTCTTGTGTAACAAATTTATACCTTCAATATTGTGCAGCTGTTTTCTAGCTGTATGTAAACCAGTGCAAAATGGCCTAAGAAGCAACAATCACACTGCCAAATATACAAAATTTTCTGCTTGCCCTTCAATTTGTTTTATGGAATGGCAATTAAATAGGCTAGCCTGTGTCTCCTATGCCACATCATTTTGAAACTATAACTAATCTAAAGGATCATGCACTAACATTTTGAAGTCCACGTAGCAAATTGCTTCAAACAGAATGGCCGCTGGGTGCTGAATGGGTGCTGTATTTCATTTAAACATGCTATATTAAACAGAGATAGTAGGATGTAGTGCACTTAAACACATAACCCTCAGTTTAACTTCTCAAGATTAAATAGTTTCAGTGATCAAGAAAGATCTTCTTAGCTGTATAGAGAGAAGAGCATAATAAGGAAGGTAGTCTCTTATCAATCAGAGTAACTGTGCAACAATCAATCTAGAGTCATCTGAAAACAGCTAGAATCTATGAAATTTAACCTAATTTAACACATGCATGTCTATAGATACACTTTTTTATGGTGGCTAGAGTACTCCATACAGTGGTAAAATTGTCACATGGAGGTCTTCCAAAGATGTGTACTTGTTATCACAGAATAGGTGTTTTTTTCTTACTTCTGCCTATGTGCATCCATTTAAAGTACTGGCCTCTGTTGAAATTTGGATTATAATATCTGCATACTGGTATTTCTCCCTTCTTTTGTGTAAGAAGAGGAAAGAGAAGCTATCAGGGTTATAAAAAGATGTGAAAAAGTTGAACCAAAAAACAGATACCTTTTTTTTCTAATATAATAAGCATTATATTAATCTTTCTGAAAATACTTTTAATGTTTGCTGTTTTTAACTGATTTCTAGTGAAATTTACTTTGAAATGAAAATAGTAAATTATGAGACAATTTTTCAGCTGTACTTTTCAGTCAGTAATTTACTCATAGTGACATACCTTGCCCAACCTTAATTATAAGACCTGTATAAAGTTTTTCTCTGCTCTTATTTGTCTTCCTTTAACCTTTTTCTGAGCCATATGGAGAGAATTTGGCTATAGCACAGAACTTCTCAATTTACTTAACAGATTAATTTATAAAGATTTAAGGATCACATTCAGAGCTCCAAGATGAAAATCATTGCCAGAACACAGTGTATTGGAAACCAGATCTACCTTCTCCTGACTGAGTTTCATTTATGATATGCTTCATATTTATCATTCCTACTGCCACAGTATGGACTACACACCAAAAGCATTTTCATCTAATGCATTAGCATATGTTTGCAATTAGAATTTTTAACTTCACATGACATTTTAGTAAAGGTTAAGGGAGTGCTGGCTGAAGAACAAACTATACAATAGCTCTTTGTATAGCTCTTTAAAATCCATGTTGTTATTTTTTCTTCAGTGCAAATAATACGTATTAAGTACCTTTTAAATATAAAAGAAAAGATTATGAAAATTAAACCTGGAGAGTGTTTGCTGTTCTATAATATAAACTATAAAAGTATACATTTTTATTTTAAAGTATTTTCTAGCATTTTGTAATTCATTTTTCTCAAATTCATTTTTTGTTTTTTTGCAATATACAGCACCACAGAAATGTAATTTCAATTATTAATTTATTTTCTTGATCTTAAAATATCTTCAGTTACTATGAGGGATTTATTTCAAAGTTAGAACTTTTTAGCATGATACACCACTTAATTATGTTTGGACATAGGAACAATAGTGTGTACATCTCCTGTGTATTTTTTTCAAGATCCAAGAAGTTCTGTACTCGCTCATGAGAACAGAAAAAAGAAACAGATGCAGGTGTACACCTGAATAATGTTCCATTAATGTAGACTCTTCCTGTGACTTTCACAGCCTCACAAGCATCTTTTCTTAGAGTACTTTCTGGCAAGCACTAATTTGGTTCTATCTTTCAAGATTTTTCTATTCATGTAAAAAAACAAAATAAAACTGAAACAATAATTTGTAGTTCATTTTCTCCAAGTAAAAATCCCCAAAATGTGGACAGCTCAGGAGTTCTGTTTTATCATACTAAAATTTTAATACTAATTTCCTTTTTTGTGTTTTTTTTTTTTTTTCTAATGGCACTATCAATTCTTGGAGTACCAACAGGATGCTTTATATTAGCTTTTTTAGTATTCTCTTTCTTAAATAAGCACAGTCCATCTGCATTTCTGATTCTATGTCAATTTATATTTTGTTAACAGGTATTATTTGACAAAACCAGAATTTATGCAGGAAAGCAAAAATCAAGCATCAGCATCTCAAAAGAGATGAGAGAACTGAGAAAGCAGGAAGTAGAAGTATTCAGTACTCTCTGTTTTTTCATACTTTCTTGACTGATTCTTGTGCATTTAACCAGCAGCTTTAAGAATCCCAACAGACAGCATGAAAAGAAATGAAGTTTACATGGGCTTTTTGACCCTTCCACACCAAATAGTATTTATACGTTAAAGATGTGTAGAAATTATACATATAATGTATATATCTTTTTTTTTTTTCCACATGGGTAGTTTGAAAAATAAGATTGAGTGTGATATACAGTGGATGCTTTCATGCACATAAATCTGGAACCATTGCTAATTTTTTCACATTATCTCCGTTGCAAACATAGACCACATTACTAAATTTTAATAACCCAAATGTAATATTAACCCAATTTATTATAAAGGGAATGTCAGATAAACTCTATTTACTTGTATTAAACAAACTTATATTTACATTCAAAAAACAGATTAATTAATAACTGTTTTTGCTGAAGCTGTGCTAATTTGCGTTGCCTATACCACTTTCATTTATTATTAATGGTGATCCATATCAGCTATTCTATTTTCCTTATGTTGGACTGAAAGCCTATAACTACTAAGTGTATTTCATTAGCTTTCTTCTAGTCTTCTCAAATATTATTACTATTCTAAGTCCTATTAAGAACTAAGTCCAGCACCATTTGTTGAGATAACTTCCTTCCAGATCATTATGAATTCTTGTATATAAATTAGATAGATCTATTGATTAAAATTTTTTAGCATTAGTATCTCTCATTTATCATTCCCTTTGGATGAAAACATATTTTCATGTGAATTCCTGTTTGATATTTAGCAAAGATATTCCACATTTCTACTGTTTTTACAATACTTATTCTCCTGCCTCATCCATAGAGTAATGTGCAGCAAGTTGGTTTGTTCTATTGACCATTTTCCCCACTCCTTTATGTCCTCACTGCAGCAGATTTTTATTTATTTATTTATTTTCATGGAAAAATAGCTTTACAATCATAATTTAAGACTTCAGAATGCATATGCACAGGGGGCTGACATAAGCCACTTCAGTTCTTACATATTTCAGCTTTAATGTACTTTCCCTTACAACATTATCATACTTCTAAGAGGTTGTTAGTATATAATTAAGATAATTGCTCCCTATCATATTCTCCTCTAGATAACGTCTTTGATAACATCCTTAACAATAAAATGTTATTAAAAATACCATGTCATTTCTGAAATTAAAGCACGTGGGAATGACTGATACCATGTGACCAGTTCATTGTCAAATTGCATGCCTGTCTCCACCTATCCAGTATTTTCCAGTAAATATATTTATATTGTTAAAATAATTCCATTTTCCAGAGGACTAGCATTCATTTTCTCTACACATAGAAAGAAAAAAGATGCTGCTTGACATATGCTAAGCATTTTCTCATGATTCATTACTTATTATTCATTGAAATACTGTTGAAAGAGAAGTTAGCTTTCATACAAGCTTTGGACAATTTTTGCAAATGAGTGATGAAAGTATTTATCATCAAAATGTATATGTACTGACCAACACAGAGCTTCATCCATCCCAGTGTGATTATCATTTAGAATGGTGTCATTATACACTGGACTGCTTGCTATCAAACAAGAACCTTTATTTCAAATCTAGACAATAATTCAAAGGAACATAATTATTTTGAGGTACTCTACATTTTAAAGCCCATATATAAAACCCCTATTTATCAGTATTTGAATGTTTTATTTGTTAAATGGCTATTGGTTCCAGCATCCTTTGCAAGTAGTTTTGAGTAAGGAATGAAATATACATAGACTATATAAAACATATTTTACACTTCAAACTGCTCCTTGGATTGTTTTATAATTTAGCAGATATAAGTAACTGTCCCTCTTATAAGTGACATTGATTTACAAGAACAACATTGCTGTAAACTCCATTAAATTGCTAACATTAGCAGTAATAGTACAACTATATTAGTGGTTTAATTTGTTTACATTTTATGTGCATCTGGCATGTTCTAGAAAAATATCATCTTTTGTAATGGGTTTAGAACGATCTTCAGTAGGCATTTAGCTCATATTATATGCCTCCTAGTGCCCTTGTAGATTTTCTACAAACCTTTAATTTAATTTTCTATAAACCTTTTCAGATTGAATTTTGCTTAGTTTAGAACCTGAAGGGAAGCAGTTATCTTGTACTCCATACTGTTTATTAAGTTGTACTCAAGAGTTTGCATATTCTGTTTTGCATTAGGATGAAACTGAGTCCTAAAATCTGAGAGATTCAGTCCTTGAGAGTCCATGCTTCACTGGGCTTGTGTCCATAATGCTGTAAAGTTCAGGTATTATAAAAAGAGCTTAACTTTTTTCAGAAGCTGAGAAGCTGTAATGGGGAATTCAGTATAGATATGCCTTGAACTACACAAAGAACTCTGCTGTTTTTTGTTATAGATGAATTTCTCTAAAGTTTTGATTAATCAATGTTGATTAATAAGTTTTTATATGGTGAAAATAATTTGTCAAAAAATTCCCAACTACCTCTACACAGCATTCATATGTCAGTTTGGTGGCTCTGCTAACAGATGTTGAAGTCTCTGGTATGTGTTTTGAATTTTTAAAGTAAACTAACTTTAGTACACTTTGAAAGCAGAAATCTTAGCATAGCTTGCTAAATGTTGTTAAAATCAAAATATTTGCAGAAATATTAAGCAATTACTAAAATAAACCATTTTTGTACATAATGAACAGATTTATTTGTTTTGTTCAGTGTCAGAGATGATTAAAAAATAGAAAAACATTGATTCCTAGTGAAGGTAAAGTGTTAGATTCTGTAAAAAAATAAAAGATTTTCCCTCCTGTTTTATTTTAAGTTAAATAAAAAACTCATTAACTTCCATTTTCTCTGCTTCAGTCTCTCTTTCTGCATCTGCTAGTCCTGATGGCAGTATGTAGCTTGCTGCCAAAAAGTTTCCCTCTACTGCTTTGCAGAGATTTCATTTTTACTCATTTATATCATTTTCATTTTTGTACAGGCCATCTCAAAAGCAAATTTTCAGTGTGCAAGAAATGTACGATTTTGCTAAATATCAAAATACGATGGGAAAGAGTTTGCATTGCCAATCCCCATATGTATAGATACAGCATATTTTTACTAACAGCCAGTAACAGAATCATTTTCTACTTCAGACAGGAAACCACCTTTTTCCTTTTTTCCCAGTATAACTTCAAACACTGCAGATTTGGAAGAATCCATAGGAAAGCATGTTTTCATCCTTGGTTGCTTATTGTTCTCAAAAAGCAGAAAAAAAACTTTAGAAGGATCACTTCATATAGTTTTACTCCAGAGCAAAGTGCATTACTTTTTCTATAATATTTTCTATTACTGTATGCAATATTATCTGTTCTGGATGAGGATGGTAAAACCAGCTGTTAGTTTCTGTTCTTTCCACTGTAGCTCCAGCTGTTCAATCCATTCCATTTACTTTCAGATAATGATTCTCTCCCTGCTAGAAGATATTTAAATAATTTAGTACAATTAAAATCACTTTCTTACCAGTAATACTTGAATATTAGTAATAATTGAAGTTAATTATTAAGTTAATAATAAAGTAATAATTGAAGTTAAATTTATTTTCAAGAGCAATTCTATTATTTCAACATCTCTTTCTGTCCTATGTTGTGAAGAAAAAACATCAAAACTTTCTGTGACTATTTGGTAAGTAAAGTTAAGCAAGAAATATTTTTTTCTGTTAAATTCTACAGGTTGTCTTTCAGACTTTGTGTCATCCAAACTATTACAACTTTAACAAGGATTTGCTGTGAATGGATTTCTTAAAAGTATTAAAGGCCTTGTGAAGCCCTTGCAAACACAAAGCAATGTTTTTTTAATTGCTTGTCCAACTCCTAGATATCAGCCTTAGAAACACAGTGTGCAATGAATTTGTGACTCATATTCACATGGAATAATAACATTTGAAATACAAAGTTTGTGGTGGTTATGAGTTCTGTCAGTAAAATTGACAGGAACTTTGTGAATTCTGCCTTTTGTTGCTTACCCATTCATTGTCCTGTAAGAACTGTATATGAGGAAAATCAGAGTGAGCATGTTTCAGCCAGGAGGAGCAGGTAACCCCAGTTTTACTGCTACTGAAAGTTTTGTGTGATCTTCATCATTCTTTTATATAGTTAAATGCAGCTATCCAAGATCCAAGGATCTATGCAAACTCCATAACGTGTGGTTTCTATAAGAAATGTAGCAGGTTGCAGTATGAGAACATTAAATAGGAAGAATTTTAAGAACTCTGCAAAGCTAGAAGGTACATGAATAATATAAAACGAAACTAAGAAGATAAAAACAGTGAAGAAAATAATTGCAAATTCTAAGACCAACTAAATTAAATGTAAATATTGCTTTTTCAGTTGAAAGGTAGGCTTAATAATGCTACGCAATATATAAGTTCATTATAACATTTCACCTGAATTTCCTCCGATAGAAAGTAAAATATTATGTGAATATTAATAAAAGGGGAAGAAACTTAGTATTTTTCAGAAGAAAATGCTAAGTGTAAATGAAAATAAGTAAAATTACAAAATTATTTTGAGGTTCCATTATAAAAAAGATCTGATTTGGAAATTCAAAAATAGGATCAAGGTTTTTTTTTTGTTGTTGTTGTTTGTTTGTTTTTTGGTTACTGAAAACTTGAACTCTGTAGTGCTTTAGTGTCACAAATCAGCTGTTGGGTTGTATCAATCCAAAATTATCCATTGTATGTCTTTTTTCTTTCTCAAATCACATGGATGTTATTGGGGCAACATAGCCCCAATAGGGACTAGATAGCTGATTTGCTTTGTTACAGATGTTTCCATACTGCTTTCAAAATTAATAGCAGAGATTTTTAAGATTCCCTGAATTCTGACTGTGTATCAGGTGTGCACGCTACCTGCTAGACAACCTCTTTATGGTTAATCAGGATATCAGTATATCAGTATTTCTGGTTTGAATCTAAATATTTTAAATATATATTACATGCAAAAATGTAAGATTTCCAGAGTTAGAGTTGAGCCAAAGTGAGAGTGAGTGAGTTGCTTGAAAATTTATAAACCTTAGGTAAGAACATCTGGATATTTAAATATTTATAAATAAAATTTCTAGCTCTTTGGCTTTTAAATAGTTGGTTTTATGACTTCAGTGTTTTATTAGAGAGCTTTACTAACTAATTGATACTTCAGAAGAAATGAAGCTTATGAAAATGCAGTTTTGTCCATACATTGCATTTCCTTGTAATTAAAGATAGATGCATATTGGGAAGTTTATCTTCAGGACTACTTAAATTATTTATTAACGGAACTTGTAGCTATCATTAGTATTATTTAAATGATTTGAAAGTACTTACTCTGATCACACATGCAGTTTATATTATGAGCCAATTTGAAAACATAGCTTAATTCACCTGTTGACTACAATATTTGCAAGCATAGAGTACTTTCTCTGCACAGCACAGTTTGGATGTTCTCTTTGGATTATAGAAGAAACCTTGTGAAATATGAAGTCATGTAAATGATAGCATTCAGGGTCATCTCACTGGTGAGATAAACTTAATAAGCATGAAGATCCCCAATATAGATCATTATTTGAGGGCAGGGGAATTGTTTTACAAGACTACTAAGCTTTCTAGTTTTTAGTGAATGACTGAAATGAACAAAAATATTTTTTTCACCCATACTTACACCTTGGGCATTTCACTGAACTTCCACAAACATGAAGACTACATGCTGAGACAACACAAATGTAGCCATCTGTGAAATATCGGCTGTAGACCATACAGTCATTTCACTATGAAACTTAAACCTGTGAAACCCAACAACAAAAAATATAACAGAAAATAAGTATATGGCAACTCTGTAGTATAGTAAGCTGCTGGTGTCTAACTGAGCATTCAAAAACAGAGGCAGTCTCAAAAGGTTACACAGGAAATGGTGGAAATCACCCATCATCTCTCATTAGTATTTAATGAGAGATGTTATTCCAGACAGTTGCCTGGTATTACAAGGGTTATGCAAGCTTGAAGCAGCTCCAAAGTCTATTTGTGCAGGTGGGTGATTAGGGGAAATGAAAAGTTGATAACAGTCATACCGAACTCTTGTGGATGATGCAGAAACAACTAAACAGACCCCCTGTTGTCACTGGAATGCACTTCACTGGTAATTAATTCCAAACACTATCCTGAAATAGCTGCCACAACCAAGAATGGGCCAGTTATAGCTTCAAGTGCTTTCAGCAAGACAGTTGCAGATATATATTTACAATCCTACTCAGAACAATGGTTATTCAGGTTTAAGTGTTCAGGAAACAAAACAAATTCAAAAGAGCAAATTCAAACAGCTTAGTCCAGCTGTTCTCTGTATGCATCCAGTTTAGCTACCTACTGACTCCATTATTCAGTATTCCATCTGCTCTTTTGAAAATTCTCCTGTAATGTTCATTCCTTGAAATCCTGAAATACATGGTTGTCTTTATCCGTAGTTCCTAGTTTTGTGCCATGTTGAATAGTTATCTAGGCGAGATTTACTTTGGGGATTTAATCAAGTTAGAGTAATTTTAAAGTTGAATCCTATACTATGGAAAATTGCCTAGTACCTCAATTGGGGCTACTTTAGAATGTGCATGTCTTTGTTCTCCATCTGACAAAATAGGAGATTTTCTATTTTTTTTCCAGATTTTCTCCTTGAACTGCAGCACTTAATTTTATTTATGCAATTGCTGTGAATCTTTGCAATAGATCCAGAAGTTTCAGGAGACATAACATTTTTATCTCACATGCTGTCCAAGAAATCTTATACGTGGTAGCCCTGTATCAAATCAGGGGAATTCCTACTGTTTTGTGATCTACTCTGCTCAGTTTTGGGTCTTTCACTGTTATCTTCTACCTACTTATTGGCCTTATTGGTGTATGCTCCTGCCTTGTAAATTTAAATCCAAAATGAATAAGCTGAGCCTAAGTAGCACTTGCTCCTTAGAAAATTTTCAGATATATTGTTTTAGGACTTACATTGAAATCTGTCTATGGGTATGTTCTAAGGTAATGGGGTGATTCTCCTTGCTGTCTTTTAGAATGAATTAATTTTTAGTGAACCCTCTGTAAGCCTCAGTGAGCTCACCATGCCCAAACTCTCTTTAATCCCACAGAATCAGATTCATATGATTCTTCACATGGGCCTGGCACGCTCTTACCCAGTTAGAGAAAGCTTAGCAATGGTAGGAAAGATTCCTTGAGGCACAATTTAGAAAAGTTTCTTAGTCTTATCCTCAGCATGATCCAATATTCCTGCTACAGCTTCCATATTTTTGATCATCTCTGGAAGGAGAAACTACTGGTGTATCTGTCACTCCAGCATGTTTATAACTGACAAGTGTTCTTTCATTCCAGTTTATGAGGATTTAAAGGGTGATAAGGATTTAAAGGATAACTGCCATTTAGGTGAGATTCCCGTTACTGAAGTTAAAAAAAATTAGTTCTTACATCCATGATGAGACCTATGTCAACTGGTTCATTTCTCAGCCAGACAATGAAATTAGCCTTTCCAGTGGCCATTACCTCTGCGAGGAGACTTATGTAAACTCACCTACTGGTGACTGATCCTCCACAAATAGTACCATTTCCTGATATCTCCTTTTATAATCTTCCAAGATTTCTGTTGAGGCTATGACTGATTTCTGTCTGAGACAGATGATTTGTCTGATGACTTAATGTTCCTTCCAGAGCTTTATGCCTCTTTATAACACATTTGATGTTAAGAGGACATATAACATATAGAGACAAAGGCATTCCAACAGTTTTCTACTGTATTTTTTTTAAAGATAGATTCAAAATCATAGATATTACTGGATTAGATGAGTGCTTTTCTAACAGTTTTCTAATAGGCCAGAAAATTACATCTGCTAGAACTGATCAAGCTTAGATCTGTCCTGACACCACAATAAAAAGCATTTTGATCCCATACAGCATCAAGCCATTTGGATCTTTATTCACATTTTTGCATTATCACGGTGCTTGGATCCAAAATAGATGTGGGGTTTTGGCCCACTTTCACATATAGAATATTGCATGAAGTCATCTGCACTGCTGCACCCCCGGCCTGCTCACTGGCAGGACAGAGCAAGAAGCTGAAAAGTCTTGGCTTAGTGTAAGCACTGCTCTGCAACAATTAAAACACCACCATGTCATCAACATTATTCTTATTTTAATCCAAAACACAGCACCATACCTGCTCCGAGAAGGAAAATTAACTCTATCCTAGCTGAAACCAGGACAGCATGTTCAGTTTCTGATTTGCTCAAAATTTTGAGAAAAAATAAATGTTATTTCTTTGGAAAGCAATTTAGTTACCAGCATATAAACACAGAAATTTAACTTTAGGCCCTAAATTTCTGTTCCAAAAATTAGTCTTATTAGATAGACATATATAACACATTACATCACTACATAATGTAGTTTTCATTTCATTCAGAAATACTTTTTGTACTGAAAGGCTGCATCACAAATGAATCACTGAGTAGTTGTAATGTCAGCTATAGTAGACCAATGTTCCTTTCTGTAAAAGAACTGACTGATTCTTACATAATACCTGTTGTGTTAGACACCATGTTAGAGTATATTCATAGTTAAAAATATTTTTATGAACAAGGTTGAACTGGATAATAGATAAAACTGGACACACAAAAAAAGAACAAAAAAAATCTTTGTTCACAATTGTATAGTATATGACAGTGTAGTGGAAAATAGATTTTGTGAAGTGTTTTTGTCTTGCTACTTCCTTCCTCCCTTTGCTTCCTGATAAAAAGGTGCTGTAAAAAATAAACATATGCCATACTAAATGGCTTACAAACTTTTAATTTGTTAAATTTCAAAGAACCAGTTATGTAAATTTGTTCTTGTTCAACAGAATAACAGGAATAGACCAATAAAAAGCTGATCTGGATTTAGTGGAATTGATTCCATATTCATGTTTTAGTATAACTAAAATCAATCCAACTGTTAATCAAAGAAAAAAATATCTATAATTGAAATAATGCTAGTGTAGCTTGAGTATAAGATTTTTAAATAACAGTAAGAACAATATGACCTTTAACTTCCAAGCAATGTTGTGATTTTTTTTCTACGGTCTTTTGATGTGTAAGGAAAAGGCTAGTGAGTATAGTCAAATTGTTCCTCTTTTGTATGAAGGACTACATTATTGTGACCATTGCTGTGAGTACTGTTTACTTCTTCTGTAAATACTTGAAAAATTGGGAGAAATAGCAAACAGAATTTTGAGATGTATTAAGATTTGAGATATGTAATCTTGTCTAATCCTGTGAGAAATTTAAGAATAACCACCTTTTTGGTACATCCATCAGATGTTTAATGGTAAATGTGATCATGACAGTATGGTAATGCTTCCTGTCCTTTAAAACCTTGTAAGCTGAACCAATCAATATACAAACCAACCAACCAAATTAGTAAAATTTGCCAGAATGTAAAACAGTATAGCTATTTTTGTAGTCCACATTATATGAGTCCAGTTAAACTAGTATATACTATTATATATATATATTATATATATATATATATATATATGTAAAATTTTGTTATTTCGTTACTCTACTTTTTTTTCTTTGCCTTCAGTAACCATTTTTCAACATCAGAATGACTCCAGTAACATAATCTCTGTGACAGTCTGTCGTGTATGATGGAGGCAGGAAGGAATATTGTTAGAGCATACTGCACTTCAGTAATTTTAACTGCCAGATGATCCCTGGAGCCTGTTGTTATCTGACTTGTACAGAAACATCTCTTAGCTTATTGTAACTTGAGCCTGAAACTAGAAGAGAATGACAGCCATAAATACTTCCTTTTTGGCCCTGTACATAGCACCTGTCAGAAACTCGGTACTCTAGCTAATCTTTCATAGGAAAATTCAGTAGGTAAGATCTTTTTGATATAATAGAATGCAATAAAACTTCCAGTGATATTATTACAGTTACCTGAAGGAAGAAAAAAAAATAGTTTTGTTACCAGCAGAAGATAAAGGAAAATGAAAACACGATTATTATAGCATGTAATTACAGAAGAGAATATATTTCAATTTATTCTTAATGAAACAGCAAGTTCTGTATATATAACCAGAGAAGTCCTCCAAATTGGTTGCAGTAGCTAATTTGATGGTGATATTCTCTGATGGAGCAGACCCAGGTAGTAAATCATTATTGGTTGCCTAATGGGAAGATCCTACTGTGAAAATAAACAGCTGTCCACAATAAAGAAATTGTTTACAAGAAACCATTACATGTCAGATGCTTTATTCCCTTGAGAAAGGACTAAAGGCATGAAATATTGAGCAGTTGGATTTATTTTTTTTTTTCCTGGGATGTTTATTTCAAATAGAAATATTGTTTTTATTTTATTTATTTTTATTTTTGTAAAGCTTTATTTTTAGATTCTAAAAGCCAGATGCTTTGTTGTATTACCACTTCATTTTCCTTGGAAGGAAAGACTGTCACTACTATTTTTTGAGATTTCTGCATATTGTGTATGTTCCTGAATTGGTCACAGTTTATGTATACACTGTAGCTCAAAAAGTTTTTTCTCTTCTCTGTCTAGGGGGCATATAATAGCTCTGCCTCCCTGCATGAATATCTTCTAATAAATCTTCATTCCAAGAATATCACTTCCAGCTAGTTACAAGCTTCTCTGTTAGGACTGTATTTAGGGGCAAAACCTAGTAGTGACCTGTCAATGAATAGGGTCAACAAAAAGCTCTAGATCCCTGTGGAAAAAAATTAATAAATAAAAAATTAAAATCTTATTTATACAACTTGACCTCTGTTACCTCTGCAGCATATTTAAAAAGTGAGTAAACATAGCTGAGGTGACTGTAGTCAAGAGCTTAAAACAGAATGAAGAAGCAGGCAGAAAACTGTGTTCCTTACCACCAGCATCAATCTGTCATTCTAACTGTCTGGCCTTTGAGAGAGGCATCCTCAAGATACTTCCCCATCTGCAAGACTTCCTGATTTCACTTTAAAGGCTTTCATGTGCTAAATAGCTAAAGGGCAGCTGTGCTTAAGCACAGCCACACAGGCTTTACAGTGGAAGAACAGTAACTGAAACCCATGGACTTCTAAAGTACCAGGGAGGTTTTGTTCCTTATACGTTTAGATATTTGATCAAGACAAACCTTCTGTTTATTTTTCACACAAGTAAGTAAATAAGTAACTACACTAAGTACACTTCGATAGACTCACATGGAACATTTATCCCTCCAGAAGTTGTTTCTTAGCTTCCTATGTGGCTCTTGTATTACTGTGTGTTTTGGCAGCAGTATAATCTGTTTGGGATCTCCATACACAGTACAGGGTTTTCTCAAAGTAAGTTTCTGATTCCCCAGTTGGGGAGGTTAATTTATTGTTATATTTTATGAGGGTTTTTTTTGTTTGTTTGTTTGTTTTTTCCATAGAGTGAAACAGGATAATATTTCATATTCTGGAGCACAAAAGGATGAGACTTTCAGCTCAATTTAAATGCTCCTAACATTCCTATTTAACTTTCATCCTCACTATAGGATTTCCAAACAGTATGGAAAGGCATTGGTGGGGTGTTTTCCTGTCAAGTCCTCACCAAAAATTATTTAGTACATGGTGCTGGAGTTGGCTTTGTTTATTTGTCTATTTGGAATTTGAATTTTTTCTTTGGAGTGGATTTGCCCACAAAATGAAAGGATAGACTGGTAAACCACCTCAATTACAAATAAATAGGCTTTCATCTGTGAACCCTGCAGGCTGTCAGACATGAGGTTTGAATGTAATCATCATCTTACTGCAGAGCTGTAGGCAATACAGCACATTGAGGAACATGGCCCACATGTCTTTGTGACCCAGAAAGAAAGGTACTCTATAAATTTACAGACTCATAACGACCACCATGACCGTGCCCAGGCAATGGATTTTTCCAGAACCTGAACTAAACTATTTCTTTAATATTACAGTTCTAACGGTGTGAAGTAATGTGGAGCTTTTGGCCTCCTGCTGAGTTCTTCTGGTGCTTGGTTACCATTACAGCTGGGAAGTTGTGCCTTAATTCTCAGTCCTCTCTATCATCTGACCTGATTTTCACCAATTTTACTTTACATTGTTCCAACTGCATTAAGAACGTTGAAAGTTAAAAATGATATTCTAAGTCCCTTTAATGGCTCTTTACTGTGCTATAAAGTGATAACAGTATCACAAAACATTTCTGAACAGCTGTTTCCCAAGTACCTGGACATATGTGGACATTTCTATGCCAGCTGTAGGTTATCTAGATACAATACTGCTAGAAAGATGGCTACTGTAGTGCAAAGCTCTATGAAGGATGAAGATTTCATCTGAGAAGCTGAATATGTTTCTGTGTAACTAATCATCAATGATCAGTTATGTTGCTTATGGTGTTCAGGAAAATTGTGAATGACAGCTACTAGCACGCTCTAAGTCAAGTATGTGTTTTAACTTGTTGATTTGGGTCTTATGTTTTAGGATTTACCAGGATGACAGATGAGTTATATTAAAAAGCCCCCTTTTAAGTCACTGCTGTTATAGTGATAACAGTTGGATTCACAATTACTAATTCAATGCAACAAATGTAAAATATTTGTGTTTTTTTGTTTTGTTTTGTTTTGTTTTGTTTTTGGTGCTTCATTTTACTTAAGCATTAAAAAGAGTGCTATATCCTGACTTAACATAGAATGAATCATAGAATCATAGAATGGCTTGGGTTGGAAGGGACCTTAAAGCCCATGTAGTTCCACCCCCCTGCCAAGGACAGGCATGCCACTTACTAGATCAGGTTGCCCAAAGCCCCATTCAGCCTGACCTTCTGCATCTACATCTGCAGAAATGGGGCATCCACAACCTCTCTGGGCAACCTGTTCCAGTGCCTCCCCATCCTCTGAGTGAAAAATTTTCTCCAAAATGTACGCTATAAATGTATGTATCCTCCTAAACGTACCCATTAAATGTATGTATCCTCCCAAATGTATTTCTTCTCAGAAAGAGCAATTGGAACAGGTTGCTGAGGGAGGTGGTGGCATCACCATCCCTGAGGGTGTTTAAGGAAAGGTTGGATGTGGTGCTTAGGAACATGGGTTAATGGGTGATGTTGATGATAGGGGGATGCTTGGACCAGATGGTCTTGGGGTTCTTTTCCAACCTTAATGATTCTATGATTAAAAAAAAAAAAAAAAAAAAAAAAAAGCATAGATATACAATCCATTCCTTACCAAATACATTTAAAATTCAATAGTTTTTTTTTGAAGTTGAAATTGTGTTCCAAGTAACGCTTTGTTTTCAAAATAATTTTTGATATTAAAATGTATAAAGTATTTGTAAGTTCACATGAATGCTATTTTTATTCACAGATAATGCACCTCAGGTAGCAATTACCGCACCAGGATCTGGTAACCATAGAAACAGCTCTACAGGTCCAACACCTGACTGCTCTCCTCCGTCACCAGACACTGCACTTAAGAACATAGTAAAAGTTATACGTCCTCAGGTAGGTGATCACCAAAAGCATCCTCTTCTTAGTTGTACTTTTCATGTTAAAAGCAGGATCTGATGCATGTATTCTAGGAGGATGTTGTTGCTAAACACATTTATGGATCAAAGATAGATAAACAGAATCTAAAATATTTTCTGTGCTTAGGAAGCAGTCTTGATGACAGGAGAACACAGAATATTTTATGAATGAGTATAAAAAGGCACAGAGAAATCAGTACATTTTTATTACAGCATTAATAATGAATGAAATCCTTATGCAACTTTTTGTATTTTTATATACTATTGGTTTTCCTCCAAGTTTATTTATTTATTTATTTATTCAGCATTAGTGGTGCATTACCTTTACAGGTTTTCTTCCCTTTTTCTGTACGTCTATTTGCATAGTCCCTTAATATTTTATACCTTCATGAGGTTACATACATTCTTTTATAGGAAGCATGAAAGTTGAGAAACAATATTAACTATATACATATTCATGTATTGGTAAAGGACATGCATTAGCACATTAAAATCTATGTGCCCTCTTGTAGTTCTTCATGGATTACAACAGTTTATGAACAGGTCAGTAGTACACACTTGAATTTGAAGCAGAAGGGTAGAAAAATTTCTTATAGCTCTTGGTCCCTAGTGAGATCATGCTGTAAAAAAAAAAAAATCTTCCTTGTGCACTATGATAGCAATTTCTTTCATGCTAAAGGAAAAAAGAGAAGCTGTCTATTTGTCTTATTTTGGAAGTTTTAACATATTTCTTGATATCCTTGGCCTCATCTCTGAGATGTTTTTAAAATGGATAAAACTTAGAACTTGATTCAGCAGTGTAACAGTAACCAGGCTAGAAGAGTCTATTTTAGAATCACAAGATTGTATAATAATATAGGTCAGAAAAGATCTTGGGGTTACCTAGCACCCTAATTAAATAGGTCTGACAAAGTAAGCTGTCACAACTAGACACTGAATTGGCGAATTGTGAAACTTCACTGGCATGAATCTTTAACCAGAATAACTTCTATTCCTCTCCTACCCATTACTGGGTTCAAATGCAACCATCTGTTCTTCACTGCTGATCTGATCTCTGCCACTGGGCCCCTCTGATGCTAGTGGATCCAGGCTTTGCATCGTTAGTACGGTACATTAGTGTGGCACATTGCTGGCACTTGTGTGAGCTAATCTGAGAAGTAAGATGATGGATATATGGTATTTTGATAAGAATTATATAAGGCAGATTGTTTGGGTGCTACATAAGTGAACACATTACTGTGATGGAAGTGGGCCTTCCTTTCACTATTCATTGCAGCACACAATTCAGAAGGTCTTAGAAAATTAAAGTTAATTGCTAGGTGCACCTACCATTCCTCTCTGAGGAGCTATTAACATCCTATGGCTGAAACTGTCAATGCACAATAAGTCTAGCCACTGACTGGTGCAGAGCATCCCTCTGTGACACTGCAGTAGTTTGGGTTCCCCCTCCTTGTTTAAATCTAGACTGCAGGGGGTCTAAAATAACGGCTTCTTCTTTTGTCTGTTTATAGTTCTTTCTAGTTTTGCTTGTTCCTGTAGTCTGTCTGTACCTCCCACCATACATCAGTATAGTACTAAAATGCCTCCTTTCCTCTAAACTGTTTTTTTATAGTAGGCGGCGAGCAAACAGAAAGGTATTGGAATATTGTTGGAACAAGCTGTTGTGTGATAGCTTATTGAAAATAGCATTTAAAAAGCTGTTTTCATCATGATATTGCCAACAGATGGACCCAGAACACTGAATGGTGATGTTCGGCTGCTAGTTAACTCTGAATGGATTCAGCAGATTCTGGGGAGCTATTTTCAAATTTAAATCATACCATTTACTGACTCCCGGTATTCTCATCATTCTGCAGAACAAAAGCTAGCTGTGCAGTGTATATGATCAGAACTTCACATTCGATAATCTCTGTCTTTTGTGGGCCTACTACCTGTGCTGACAACAGTAGAAAGGCACATGTAGGCAGGTACTTAATGTACATTGTAAATCTATACACTAATATACAGAGAAGCTGAATGCACTACAGCATTCATATCCCATTATGTTTCTCATTTCTCTGTGTGTTTTATGGACATGCTTTCAGTACTCCTTTACTTTTTTTTTTTTTTTTAAACCTATTTATTAATCTCCTCCCCCAAAATATCAACCCAAGAATTTAGACAAAGAAGTTGTAGATTTGCAATGTGATGTTTGTAAACCATTAGTGTTAATTCTGCCAGAGTATTTCATTCCTTTATTCCATGCCTTTTGCATTAATTTACATTGCAAGCTCTTTGAAGGTTAATACAATGGGTTTCTATTCTTGACTGACCTCTCATCACTCATGTGAAATTAATGAACAGTGATACACAATGCATACAAAATAATTTTCTTTTGTCTGCCAGGGCTTCTGTGCACATTAACAAAATAAGCAGACTTTAAATAGTTGCATAACAAGGATCACATACATTTCCAAAACAG